GATACCTGATTGCCAAAAGAAGGTTTTTGCAACAGTGTTATGAATTGATCTCATTAGTGTGTAAGACTATGTTGTTGTGTATGTGTTTCTGAGGGCTTGTGTGTCATGTCTGAGGGCAAATTTTGTTTTTTTTTTTCAAAAAACTTCATTTTGACCTGAAAATAGGAAGTATGGGGAATTGGGTGAGAAGTTATGGATTTGTGTTTAGGGTTTTGAGAAAAGGAGTCACAATTTCAAGAAATGTGTTTAAGCAATCGAGAAAAACTGTAGTGCAACCGAACCTAAGCCGTTACACGGTTGCATCCATTGTCCGTACTTTCAGGAGGGAAAACAGGTCATTTGCTTTGTTACTGTGATATATGTAATGCTGTAGTGCATATAGATTGAATCCCCGCTTTGTTTTCTGTGTAGTTTTTGCCACAGTCATGGATGACCATAATTTAGTAGCGGTCCTTTAATTTTTGCAGAACTGAAAGGCGGCCATCTATAGGAGGTAGGAGAAGACTTCTCACAGCTGAGCAGGAGACTGCCCTGGTGAATATGGTAATTGCCAATAATGCCATCCGTTTGAGGGAAATTCAAACCCAAAGTTGAAGACCAGGTAGTCTTCCAAGGAATTGACAGCATCAGCATTTCCACTATTGACCGGATCATTCAGAGGAACCAAATAAGGACAAAGCAGCTGTACCGTGTGCCTTATGAAAGGAATTCAAACAGAGTTAAGGAGTAACGATTCCAATATGTGCAGGTAACTGATATACAGTACAGAATTTTTACAGTGTATAGAACATGGCCTGTCTCTCCTGCACATCAATACAGTACCGTCCTCCACCGCCATGCCAAACTGGATCCATACAACACGGCACAACTCCTTCAATTTCTAGATCAGCAGGGCAGGGCAACCAGAGCAGGTCTAATATGTTGTCATTTGGGATAACGTGAGTTTCCATCGTGCTGCTCTAGTTCACACCTGGTTCAATGCCCACCCCAGGTTCACTGTTCTTTATTTGCCAGCATATTCCCCATTTCTGAATCCGATTGAGGAATTTTTCTCAGCATGGCGGTGGAAAGTGTATGACCGCAACCCCTACGTACACCAAAACCTCCTGGAAGCAATGCTGGACACCTGTGGAGATGTGTCTGTGGAGTCTATCCAGGGTTATATAAGGCACACAAGGGCATTTTTTCCACGCTGCCTCGCAAGAGCAAACATAATGTGTGAATTTGATGAGATATTATGGCCTGACCCACACCTGAGATGAGATGATGATGAGAACGTTGATGCTGATGCTGTTGTTGAGTAACCTGTACATTTGCTTGCCTTTGGAAATAAAAGTTTTGAAAATTTAAGTATTATACTCTGCATGGACTCTTCCTTACATGTTTTGTCAGTGTGACATTTCAAAGGTCAGCTTTTTGTCCAAAACAGCATGTACAATATTGCTTTATCCAATTATGTAAGCACAAACGCATAAAACAGTACTGTTTTTCTTTTTTGTCAGGGTTGTTTCTGAAAGAGTTATTATTAGTCAGTGCTGTGATTTCACTAAGTTCCAAATTATTGATCTGAAAACTTCTAAAGCATTTGATAGCAGTGTTTTGAATTTATCCCTCCAATGTGTAAAAAAAAATGTAGTCTGTGTTTTTGACAGTTTGTTTGTATCTTTTTGTCCAAAACAGCATGTACAATATTGCTTTATGCAATTATGTAAGCACAAACGCATAAAACAGTACTGTTTTTCTTTTTTGTCAGGGTTGTTTCTGAAAGAGTTATTATTAGTCCGTGCTGTGATTTCACTAAGTTCCAAATTATTGATCTGAAAACTTCTAAAGCATTTGGTAGCAGTGTTTTGAATTTATCCCTCCAATGTGTAAAAAAAAATGTAGTCTGTGTTTTTGACAGTTTGTTTGTATTGACTGAGGGCAAAGTTTGAATTGGGATTCAGAAGTTAGCTGTTTGTACCGTTGGGTGTGAGAAAGATTTGAGAAAATGGTGAGTTGTTCCCAGAATTGTGTCTAAGCAACTTAAAACCACACTTATCATTTTTAGTCAAGCACGAACGCTTACTTTCTTGAGTTAAAGCAACATAGTATTACTTATTCTAATGTTGACATTTAAGTTGTGATAACTAATTGCAGCAATCATTCATAGCTTAAAAATGATCAAACTTATCAAAACTGATAAAAATGCACCATAAATTGAAATTTAAAATACAGGAGCAAAAATGTCCAATAGAATTTTCATGATTGCTTTATACTTCTGCATGCATTAATGCTGGGACACATGGTGGCAGTATACTCCATGTCAGAGATGCAGATGGCTGTGCTGGACCAATTCATGAAAATGATACGAGGCAGTTCTTATGACACTGAGGTTCTCACGCCTAGGGGCAGGTGTTCATGAGATACAATACTGTGGAAGCTTGAGAATTTATCAGCCATAGGCATTTGGGAGTAGAAACTGTGCAACACAAGATTCAACATGTTTCTTTCTTAACCATTATACTCATACATCTTGTAGCCTACATCTGCATCGCTCTTCACTGGGTTAGGCATTTTAGGGGATGGCAATTAAGGACCCACAGCACAACAAATGTCATGTATGTCTCGAAAAATCCATGTTGAACTTTCTCAGTGCAACATTTCTTTGATGCACTGCCCCTGTTTTGTGTAAGTTCTGCATTTAATTATTAATGCAATTGCATCTTTCAGTTTCTCTGCAACTATAGCAACACCAAAGTGAACTTCCTCAACAGCGATGGCAATATGGCATTTGTTCTTGTTTCAGCTGATGTTATAAATATCTGTTTTTCATTATCAGCATTGCTTAAAATGGCTTCAAGAGATACTGACAGGTTTGAAAAAGACTCTGAAATATATTTGCAGCAAAAGTGGAACAAACCCTGGAGCAAAGTGGGAGTAAGGAATTCGGGATTTTTTTGCAAAAAAAAAAAATAATAATAAAAACTCAAGTTTATATATGACCACGTTTCTGTTCCAGTATTTTTCAACCGTCCTAGTACAACTACAAAGATAAGTGGTCTATGCCATGGACAGGAATTAACCTTTTTTTATGCTAGCCTTTATGGTTACCTAAATTGTTTCTGCAGAGTCATAAACCCATGACTATGGTTAGATTTATACTCTGAAAATAGCCTATAGACATTTTTTGCCTTTATTTTTTACATTTATGGTGCATTTTTGTTGGTTTTGGTTACATTTTGGTGGCACTATAGATGGATGGATGGATGGATACACTCTAAAAAATGCTGGGTTGTTTCAACCCAACTTTGGGTCAAATATAGACTAACCCAACTGTTGGGTTAAATTTTTACATTACATTTTTAACCCAAAAGTTGGGTTAGTCCAAATTTGACCCAAAGTTGGGTTGAAATAACCCAGCATTTTTTAGAGTGTAGTTTATACAGTGGGAGAAATGTATGAGCTGAACTATGAACTATATAGCAAGTATAAACAAGAATAAACTTCAACAATTAAATACAACATTGGATGACAGTATGAATAAAGAAATAACATAGGAAGCCAATAAAGGAAATAAAAAAATTAAAACAAGAAGTGCAGAAGTAGTAAATCAAATGATGTAACATTCAGCAGATCATTATACAGTTTCACAAATGTGACACTTTTTTTGGTGTTAATATTTTTTTGTGTTATAATTAGGTAGTTAAAGTCACAAAGAAAATGATGTAATTTGGGTAATGTTGGGAATGTTAGGCTATAACAATTTGGGTATGAATATAATATTTTGCCAATAAAATAAATAAATGTCCTATATATTCTACAGTATGTTATGCTTACAATGAGAAAAATAACAGAATATATCACACATAGTTAAATCAATGTCTAAATTGAATTTTGAAGCAAGGAATTTTGACAAGTCAGACCAAAATTCTTTAAACAAGGGGGCATTTGAAAAAAAAAAGAAAAAAGATGATCAATAGACTCAATACTGAAATGATAGAAATTACAATTCAAATGAGCATTACCAAATTTGATGTAAGCCCATTATGGGGTATACATTATGCAAAAATTTTAAATGTAATTCTTTTACTTTGTTGGGGAGGGGACAAAAAAAATCCCCTCAGAGTAACATTTTGTTATAATTTTATTACTACATTTTGGGTCGTAAAAACTCTTGTCTTTAACCCAAAAAAATTCTGCTCACTTTTTACAATCACTTCAAATGATAGGCTAAATGACATTTCATTAAGTGAACAAGACCATTTGAAGAAATTCCTTATGGACAACAGGGAAATTGTATTTAAACATGACATCACAGTAAGAATGAACATTCCCTTGAGGATCTAGCATATCACAAAGATAGGCTAATTAATGTATGATCAGAACTATTTTTTTTTTATTTTTCTTAATTTTTTTTTTTTATTGCAAGTATAAACACTTAACAATTAATGTAACATTGGATGACATTATGAATACAGAAATTATATAGGAAGACAAAGAAGAGAGAAATAATAATAATAATAATAATAAAAAATAAACAAGAATACATAGATAAAACAAAAAATACAGAGGTAGTAAATCAAAAATTATGTACCATTCAGCAGATCATTATACAGTTTCACAAAGTTGACACTTTTTTTGGTATTCATATGTTTTAGTGTTATAATTAAGTAGTTAAAGTCACAAAGAAAATGATGTAATTTTGGAGATGTTGAAGAAAATGTACATATATTTTCCCAATAAAAGAAATACATTTCCTATATATTCTATGTTATGTTTACAATTTGAAAAAGAACAAAATATATCACACATAGTAACATCAATGTCTACGTTAGATTTTGAAGAAAATAATTTTGACACTGTATGATCAGAACTAACTTGAAATCCCCGCATCAACTAACCAATCACATTCGTATCCTGTCGCACACAAAGCGTGCGTATCGCTTCGGAATCCCGCAACGCTATTGGCTGAACGACATGGCAATCGCAGGATTATCCGCTTCATGGTAGGTTGGTACCCTACAGACGCGTTTAAAAACGCCCAAGCAGGAGTCCGCAATTACCGCGTTTTCTTTTATCATCACCCTGCAGCGGAACATTATGACGTCGTCATGAGAAGCGCACGGGTCTTCTTTGGAGTCCCTTCGCAGCAAAATAGTTCCTTCTTTTGCGCAGCGGCGTTGTAGACCAGATGCACTTGTGATTTCTGTTTTTGTTTTGGTTGTTAGAAAGCATCCGTTTCCGACTACAGCTATGTAGTTTCTAACTTCAATGCTTTTTATGATTAGTTAAAGTTGCATTTAACTTGCATCTGCATTGCATTGCACTGTTGTCCTGGGCTGTGGAGCTGGAGGAAGTATGGGACTGCCTGCGTTAGAGTTCAGCGACTGCTATGTGGACAGCCCTCAGTTCCGAGAGAGGCTGAAGTCTCATGAACTGGAATTAGAGAAGACCAATAAGTTCATCAAGGAGCTGATTAAGGATGGGAAAGCTTTAATTCAAGCCCTGAAAAGTAAGATATGTTTCGTTGTCGTGTGTAATAAACAAACTGTTACAGATTAATAAACACATGATATAGTCCTTAAAGAGTCACTTACTTAACGTCAAGACAGAGTAGAGAGCTTAAGATTTGTAAAACTACTTTTAAGTGAATAATTTGTCACTTTTAAGCCTGTTATAAACTGGAATAGTTTACATCTAGTAGCCCCAAAAGTATTTGGATTCTTACGTCACACTTGAAAACGTCTGAATCTCACTGTATTATGAAGTAGCACACTAAATATACTCAAATATCTTGTTCCAGAGCTATTTTGCAAGTACTATAAAACAACAAGGTTATTTTAGTGGATGTAGGAAGTCGTTACTCTCTTCAGGTTTACACAGGTGTTCTGGCAGATAACCACAGGAATACTTCCTCACATTAACTGCGACTAACATTTCACAAGTGCATCACTCTGATCTCCCACAGATACACACCCCGCCTGAAATTTCCACTCCACTCCCCATTACCTTTAAAAACAAACACTGACCCCAGCAGAACCAGACTGACACCAGACTGGCTCTCTGTGTTGAGCCTAGAGACATGTTCATGTGGTAAGCGTTTGAACACAGTACCGAGGTGTGTCCCAGCTCCCAAGTTTGACAGCTTTATATTCCTCTGGGTTTGTGATGTAAAGTTGTATAGCTGGAAAAAGCCTCATCTTTGATGTGGTTTCTAGTACTGGAATCATCAGCTTTAACAACATTTGTCTGGGCAAGTCATAATTAAGGATGGGAAAAGAGAGATATGTTTGCTTTCAAGTTTTGAAAATACGATATGTTAGCTCGTTAGGTTTCTCTATTACCCTTCTGTCAAAAAAAAAACTGTTCTCATGAGAAAACCATTACTGTCCTGTTTCTCCAGTCCATTGCTAATTTTTGACAAATAACTGGTTCACTCAATGGCTTGCAGTATGCGATGTTTGACCTATCATGAGTAAGAGTAACCTGCTTCATAAACAATAACCACATTAACTTGTTATTTTGCACCAACATACAACTTCTTCCCACAGTCTGAAATCACATTTAATAACCCTGTGAACACTATATAGCTCTTGTATTCCATACAGATGTATTTTTGATATCCTAATTGACATTAAAGGATGCTGCTAAAAAGAACATTATTTGGTGTATTTGGTGTAATGAAAAAAGACAGATGGTAAGTTGAGGAGGTTCTTAGGAAATAAGCAAATGTTCTAAGTGACTCATGTTTTGGCAACACCCAAATAATTGCACAAGGAAGGACTATTTCAACGGGGAAAGCATGCCATTTTTAGACATATGGTATAGGGTGTCGGTAATTGCTATGGTATTGTTACGTTTACAGTAAGTATGTTGTCTTTTACTTGAGGCGTAAAAACAAAAAGTGTGTTGTTCGTGGCCAAAACTTGGTGCCACAGAGCTAGAGAGATGTAATTGGGTGCTTAGTTTTGGGCGATATGCTCAATTGTCATATCGTCCTATCGTCAGCCCTATGAGATCGCCGATATACGATATTATCGTGCTAAATTATTGAATTATTTATTTACTTAGTTTCATTGCCGGAAAGTGAACCAACTTCAGCACAAGGCGAAAATCATCCTAATGTAACACGATAACAATTTTATAGAAATATTGTAAGTTACTAATTATAAGGCTTACATTTTCTCAGTTATTCAAACAACTACAGAAAATGAGCAAAGAACATTTACATTACCGAAGAACATTATCACAAGCTCAGTCTAGCGCAAGTTTATGCAGTTTAAAAAAAAACACTCCCGTTATAATCAGTGAAGCCGTTTACACTGTATGATGATTAAATCTCGTATACTTACATCGCACGTACATCTGCACTTTGTTGTTTATGTTGAGAGAATTCGCACCAGAGCTGAATTCAGTAAGCGAGCGCGCACAGAACAACTAAACTCCGCTGTTTCAGCGATGGCTCATCTAAACGCCTCTGATTGGCCATTGCATTCATAAACTCAACAGAATCGTGTGTGATTGGTTATAACGCACAACACTGTAAAAACATGATAAAAGAACACGTAAGCCCTTATATTATGTAGATAGTATTACTATCTTGATATAATAATAATAATAATAATACTAATAATCGTCTTGCCATCGTCAAAGGCATCAGCCACAGGTGATATCTCTGACTATCGTTGATACAAGATACTATCGTCTATTAGCACAACCCGTGGTCCTTGTTATGCAGTTGCTAAGGTATGTTTAGGAGGTGGTTGCACAAAATCACAAGAATATTCTGGTCTCTAGATATGGCTCAGGTTCAGTGTAACTCTATGGGATTTACATGAAATTATGAAGGCATTAAGTTAAAGTTAATATGTAGCAATGTCACTGCAGTCACATTTCTACTGAACGACTATGGCTTGTAAAATTTTGAATTGGAGTATATTCACTAGATTTTTTGTTGCTACATCCAAAGGGCAAGCAAATCACACTCTTCGTAACCTTGTTGCGCAGTGCTCTGTAAATCACAATGTCTGAATTCCCTATCAGTCTACTCTTCCTCTTTTTTACTTAAGTAAACGTGTGTATGAGTTTGTTTTACTTCATTCCACCAATGACTCATTTGTGATTTCCTTTTTTTCTCCATCTGTGCCGAGCGGGCTGGTCACCTCTGAACCTCTGTAGGTCACCGCTGTCAGCTGCGCTTGATCGATGAGGCCAGAGCTGCAGTACGTTTTGAAGCTGTGACGAATTCACAAACATCAGGCTTGTGCATCGCTGTCACACACTTTTTAGCGTGAACATGTGGCCTTCTCCTGGAATCATTTTTCTGTTTGTTGGAGTGGCTAAAGTGACATTGTGGTTGATGGTGAATATGGTTTTAGCGTGAACGTGGCCTTCTCCTGGAATCATTTTTCAGTTTGTTGGAGTGGCTAAAGTGACATTGTGGTTGATGGTGAATATGGATTGTTGGCAGGTCAGGGTGCGAATTACAGAAGTTTGAAGGAGTAGAGTTTTCAAACTTATTGTTTCAACAATGTTCACACAATGTTTCAGTAAACACAAGTTAGGGTACAAGTCAGAACACATTTCAACCTAATAGATGCTTGTGAACAGAAGTCACATTGGAAGAGGTTACTATGGCAACAGTATGCTGGCTTCTGTTTTGGATGGTAAAAAATATGCATCATTTTATTATAATTTCTGTATGAATTGCTTTAGCAATAGATTTACAGTAGCAATATTAGCAATAATTACAGTACTTGTAATTAGATTGTTACGTTTTAAAATTCTCATAATCAGATTACAGTTACTTTTTAATGGATTACATTATTACAGATTATTCACACAATGGCAGTAAAATATTAATAAAAACACATGCATGTATATATTCATGAAATATATGTTATGTTTATATGTTAAATATATTTATATATAATATAAAATATAAGAATATAAATATATGCAGGTAAATACCTGTAAATATTTTCAAAATGTTTACTGTGTGTGTATTTATCTATACATAATAAATATACACAGTACACATACATATATTATGTAAACAAAAACTTTTATTTTGGATGCGATTAATCGCGATTAATCGTTTGACAGCACTAATACACACACACAAATTATAATACAACTTATAATTCACAAAAACTGTTTGTCAGGTATGTCACAAAGACACAGTTTGGGTAGATTGCTCTCCAAAAAGCCTTTTAAAAGGTTGAGTCTTTGTTTCACACACTGCTGAGAGTTTCTCAGGGTATAAAGGGAAAGAGAACATGTTACCTCCCAAAGGATGAGGCTGTTTTCACACTGCACAGCTGTGAGAGGAGATTCAGTAGTGCTTCCCTACAGAGATCAGGGAACATCCACAGATTCACACATGAGAGGACAACAAAGAAACAGCGTGTGTGTTTTAGTTTGGTTAGTGCTCCATGAGGAGTGGGTTGGAAGGGAAATTAGGGCAGCCTCCACTGGATAATTATTGTCGCTCTATAATCTCAGCCCTCTGTGTCTGGAGGCAACCTACGATAGCTGATGTGGCTTCTCTTTAAGACTTCAGTCTATGGCGTTGAGCATGAGTGAAGCAGGATTATCGTTAGTACTAGGATTACATATCCTCTTTAATAAAGAAACTCAGTTACACTATGAGATTATAACTGCATTAAGTGTGCTCTTACGCACAGGATTACAATCAAACAAGGCTTTCTATTACTTACTATAAGTGATGGATTATGGATGCATTAATAATGTATGGTTGGCATGTTCCTTAAAATGAATTTGTCTTCTGGAAAGGTACTTGGAATACATAACCAGTTACCTAAAATATTATTATTTGAGTAATATATTATGCAATATGAGTTGAATTATCACTATTACTATAGCTCATATTTAGGGTTAGACATTTGAACAAACCCCTAAACTTATGTTTTTAACTTTTTTTGTAACTCATACCACTCATTCCATGCTTTTGAGAGATGTTTTGATATTCCTTATCAAATTCCTTGGCGGTCTGACTGAAGGTTGGCATGAAATTTTTCTCTCTTTTTTTTTGATAATCTGTTACACTTGAATGTATATCACAATACAGAACAAAAATCTTCCACTGCTTCCATTTTTAATCAGTTTTAAGATTTTTCTGGCAGATGAGAAAACTAAAAACATAGTTTTCATGGTCAAGTCAAGTGTCACCCATATTTTCTTCAGAAACGTTACTGTATATATTAGCCAATATTAGATGGTTGATTGTATAAACATGCTCATTTCCTCTATTTTTATGTAGATCACATCTAACACTCATAAAGTTAATCTTTAAAAACCCTAACAATTTAGTAGCACTGTTAAGTTTAATCTTTTGCATATGTCAAAATTAATATACATTTTTCATACTTTACTGCTTTGTCGCCTAAATTGACTTGTAGCATTTAAAATGACTGAATTTTAGTATTTTATTTGTTATTTGTTTAGAAAAAAGTACCATACAGTTTTAATATTGGCCACTTATTTGGCCAC